AGGCTTCCATATGGTGTCTTTGCTGTTCACGAACTGTCACTTGCTGCGAAATTACGAGAGGTGGGCCCGTTCTTTGTACCACCCTGTAGCAACCGCGAGGTCGTGGGATCGAATCCCACCACACGCAAGTAGCACCAACTCACCAGCAGCGGCAAAATGATACAGGTTGGTCAGCACAGATGTATCAAGGGAAGGTTCCTGATCTCCTCTCCAGGTTTTCCGCAGCCATGGGTCCTGGAGGGCCTCCTTGCATGATGGCCTCCTCGCAGGGTCCTATCAACAATACCAATGCCATCTTCCCTAACCAAACACCCCTCCCACCTTAGTAAGGAGCCTCATGATGAACTCTTTAGCTTCCTGACTCACATCGTCCCACACTGACGCGGAAAAGCTGTACTTCGCCGCACGAACACTGCGTAAGATAGCTTGCTCATCCCTGATCATATTCAGTGGTCTATCTTGGCGTTGGAAACCCATGACTACCTTCCCGTGAAGGGTGGCATGCCACTAAGGAGCATATAGGTGATCACTCCTAGACTCCATATGTCACACTTCTGATCATGAGTGCCTTTCAACACCTGTAAAAATGACGAACCCATCGAGCGAAGACGTGTACCCATCGCTTTATATCTTTCCATGGGCGATCGGATCACGAGGGGAAGTGCTATAAATCATATCCCAACGAGCCAAGCTCTCATCGTGAACAATCATGTGCTCAATACAGACTGATACAGTCATGACGCGTCGCATAAGATTCCGTTTGAGCCTCCCAAAGAACGCCTTGCTCACTATTCTCGCTATCGAACCGATTCATTATTTCGGAAATGCTCCCTCGAAAAAAGCAATAGTAAAGCTCACCTCCGGTGCAACGTAGAAACAGGTACCACACACTCTGGTGAGAGGTACACCCGAAGTGAACCTCTGTGAGAAACCAAAGTCAATCAGCTTCAATGGTGAGTTGGGAGACTTGTCCAGGAACATCCAATTCTCGAGCTTGAGATCGCGATGACAGATATTATGCTGAAATAAGGAAGCTAACCGCGTACGCTCCACCATTTTAATCTGTAAAACGCCATAATAGCGCTATACCGTGGCTTGGCCTATACGTCGCACGTACTGTACCGAAAAAGTCTTCCACTCGTAATTTCAATACTAGCAACGGCCGGCATGCACTATGCACAGTCTTCCCCATCGCTGTTCACTATACAGCGCATCACGTACGACCACTGACCGATGCCTACCTCATGACAGTAGTTCACAGCGCTGAACATTTGCTTCACTAGCCCGGCAGCGTCAGCCTCGCTGAACCTTTGGACGTCTTTTAATCGGTCGAAAAGCTCCCCACCTGAGGGACTCTCTCCCGCAGTCTGTGTCAGTATTCTCTCACCTGAGCATTTCTCCATCACCATGTACAAAAACGTTCTCGACCATCGGGACGCTGATTCCCGATCCACGTAAACCTCGCGAAGACGGACGATGTTTGGGTGGTCAAGTCGGAGGAAAATTGCAACTTCATTATACCTAACAATCTCACTGGCCAGGGAGATACGGAATTGAAAACTACAGTTGATCGTATTTCTTCTTGCTGAGGTTCCAAGTCGGGAGCTTCTTCAAGGCAGACTGCTGACCCGTCCTCCTATTAGTAATGCTACGTACTGAGCCCGACACTCCTGTCCCCAGTATCTACAGCGACTCGATATTCAACGAGCAGTTGCCAAAGCGAAACCAAGTGCTTGATCTCAACAGGTGATCAGCAAGCAGCCCATAGGGGCATTCTACATGGCATGCCCCTCATCAGTCTCAAAACTAACCCCGCTGTGGTAGTAGTAACATTTTAATAATTTAAAAGTCGACAGGAGGTTGACAGTAACATGCTAACTAACCTATCGAACTGCCGCTCCTCGTTCTACAGGGTGATGGGTGAATTACGCGACAAAACTAGATCTGTGAGAGATCAGTTCCGCTTAGGCGACAGCGCCAAATCGAGGACATGTTCTAATTCATCCGCCGCCGCCACTACTACTACTACTACTACTACTACTACTACTACTACGACTACCACTACTACTACTACTACTACTACTACTACTACTACTACTACTACTACTACTACTACTACTACTACTACTACTACTACTACTACTAGTAGCTAGTAGCTTTATAGCAAAGGTACTCTAGCCAAGGATGCTACCCTCGACCAGGGTCCCTACTACTACTACTACTACTACTACTACTACTACTACTACTACTCGTCCGTCAAAGTCATATACGTCAGATATCTTCACAGAGGTGACAATCTTGGCCATCCGAAGATCCCGAGATTCTTCCTGTTGAATTTCGGATAGTATCTTGTTGCACGAAACAAGCCGAGCATGCATCATCACAGGCCAGTCCCAGTAGCTAACCTACTTGCCCTGAGGAGTTACTCCTACTCTTTTCAACGTCTACTCGAGAATCAGTCGGGGTTTCACCTAAGGGACGACTCCATGAATTTGTTGGACGAATCCTTACTCTGCTTAGCAGGGGAGAGGACCTTGTCCCGTTTCCCTTCCTTTCCAGTGGTATTATGCCGTCGTTCCGGATGATTCTCTGACCGATGCGGATGACGGATAGTCGAGGATGATACGCATCCCATAGACGCAGTAGAGCTCAAAATTCAACTATTAAATTACTGTTGTGAGTCACTCAAATGAAGAGCGGACGATTATGCGCGTTAATTATCGCGTAAACCGGACGTTTTATCCCGAGTGATTCCGGCGCAGTTAGAATGCTCGTTTTTGATCACGACTCTCCGCTCGAACTTACTGGCGTGCACTCCTTGTAGTAATCAGACGCATGCATGAACATTTCTTCGTCCGGCGCTTCTGTACAAGAGCCCCCCAGAGGCAAGCCGCTGCCCTCCGTCCTCACACGATGCCTCGCTACCCGAATTTGACAGTGGGGGGCCTGTTGAGATTCTGTGACTATACTGGTAGTCAAGGACTACTCGATCGACCAGCATCGTCAAGTGTGCTACAGGCACGGTCTCATTCGCCAGCTCGGGTGCTCTGGTGGCAGGAGCGGCTGGAATGGACATCGTCGGATGTATTGCAGTGGGCACAATAACCGCTATAGGTGATTTTTTGACCCGTAAAGGAGCGAACGATTATACCTGTCAGGCGGCGGGACCATCAGAGACGTTATCCTGAGGCGCCAGCGAGCGTTTTGGCTGGACGAGCACGAATACTTGTGGATGTCGCTGGTAGCAGCGGCTTTGACCTACAGCCAGTAGGGGACAGCCGCTTGTGACCATACCATCACGTCGTCTCATCAGGTATCGTCGGCTCAGGTCCGAGTCTAGTCGCGAGGTGTTCTCGACCATCCTAGACTGGACGGACCACATTGGCGTTGCTGCGTTCTCTGTTATTGGCAGCATGAATGCCATCAGAGCGTTGGGTGGAGTCCGACTCGCCATCGTGCCACACTGTGTCATCGCGGGGGTCATGACTGCTACGTTCGGGGGTACCCCGGGCTTCCGTTTTTTTGTCCCTACTGATCACCTCAGGCGCGGTTCGCGATGTTGTTACCGGCCGACCAGTGAGGATCTTCCACAATAAGCAGAGCTTGTACGCCGTATCATCAGCAGTTACAAGTCTCACCTACATTCTGTTGAGCCTCTATTCAACAGGACCTCTGGCAATCACTACCAGCGTGAGTTTTTGAAGAGTGCCGGTTATGTTTTCGTTGTTATGTTCTCGCAGATACTAACTGGCATCGGCTTGCGCGCGATCTCGATGAAGCGGCAGATAACAACCGATACGATGGTTTTTCCTGATGAAAATAATTACGATGAAGAAAAATAATTTCATCCACTTTTTCGTTCATTCTGTTTGGTTTCAGTAACCAGTGTTTGCTTGCATACCATACCTCTGATCACCAGTAACTGTGTTAGCATTACAACGTAATAACACGAAACTCGTCATATATGTTTCGACTGCGTCCGGCAACGTAACGAGTTCTCGCGGACACCTCATCCGAGTACGATGGTGATCACAATGATCACAAGTTGGGACATATGGCTCGCGGACTGCACGAGAATAAGCCAGCGTATAACCTCCGAGACGAGTGCCACCAATTGAGTAACGCCGAAATATCATACATGCACCAATCTCAAACTTCAGTGATCTCGATTGATGACCTTCCGTTTATTGCGAGTGGATTTTATTGGCTATGCTCTCATTACTCACTGGGTAAGGATTTGTAGAGACCGAGCGTTAGATCGCGAAAAGGTGATAACAAGCCATGAAGCGTCGCATAGCTCTTCCGACACCTAAATTTTAACCATGTAGGGAGGCATCAACGTATCAACAGATAGAACAGATTGAATACGCAAGTGACATTCGACATTGAAAATGGTTAATTACAGGATGTAGGAGTGTCCGACACCACCCATCAGCGATGGACAGTTTTAACTCACCCCAGGCACTTTACGTCGCGTCTGTTGTGCAGAGCTGCATAGTAAAATGCTGCTACCCACATGTTAGGATCACGACGGTCTATAACACCGCAGAACGTAAAACGTAAAGAGGTAATGATCAGGCTATGAAGTGCCTCACAAGACTTTTGACATCTCGAATTTAAAGCACGTAAGGAAGCATCAATGTATCAACAGGTGAAACAGATAGCATACACCAGTGACATTTCACATTGACAATGTCTGATGACAACAAGATGTGGGAGTGTTCGACACCGCCCATCAGCGATAGACGGTTTTAATCCACTCCATACAGTTTACGTCGAGAACAGTTGTGCAGAGCCGCATGGTAAAATGCTGCTACCCACATGTCAGGATCACGACGCTCACCAACTCTGCAGTGAGTTCTACGATGCAAGCGAAGCTCGGACACGAAAGAATCTGAATGACCGAGGATTAGAGCATCACGATTCTACCGAGATGTTTATATTCACCATCAACTTCGATGATGGCAAATGATACAAATCTCGATGGCACATTATGACAGTGAATTTGGGGAGAACAAGCCCATTACCTCTCCGCTAGTTGCACAAGTAGAAACCAAATTGGACCTTGCAGTCTAAGCCTCTTTGAACGCCAAGTAAACCGATTCGATGACTACAAACCATCGTGAGGAGCGAAGCAGTGAACCAGCTGAATCAAAGAGAACTCCCAGAAGGATTTCCCGTAGATACTCTACTCACTGCTTGGTCAGCAGCACGAACCGTATAGTTCGGCTCGCTTGAAGCAAGCGAGATATGAAGCAGCAACTCAGTAGGAGGGTTAAATGCATCTACATAGGGCCTTCAGGCAAAGTAGATAAGGTGATTTATCGTACTCATCATAATCACATCAATCTCACCAAGGAGATGTTGCTTGGACAGTCGATCTCAAATCGATCTTAAGCCATAGCTAATTGAAGAATACAATCTCGCGCGCCATGAAATTATACAACGTGAAAGGTGAGGTTGGTGCTGGGGGGGACAAATGTTGTGTCCATCGAGAGCGCGATTACACGGGTTCCGGTATGACGGGACGCTCGTGTGTCTGCTGGATCACGATGAAGGTGCAAGGATGCAAGGAGTGATTCTCAGTGGTTCATCATTTTGTGGTGTTTCCGACACTACGCCGCTCCCGTCACCTCCCCTGCAGCCGTTCGCCGTAATAAGCCTACAGCTGCACTGAGGTAATGCTGTTGAGGCTGAATGGCCTTGGAAGGAGTATGACCGTTGGTAACAGACTTCTATGGGCTGGCTGTGATCAGATAAGTCATGCCGCAAAAACCTAGAGCGACCAAGATGTCGCTTTATGATTTCCAAGGGGAGCCCAAGGAGGAGTTGTTGCCGACCAGGAGTATTGGACTCGAACGTCAGTCTGGTATGCTTTGGAATTGCTTCTATCGCTGAGGGGGAACTAATCCTTTCAGTTCACCGTCGTCGTGACGATGAGCCCGGCAGAGGGGATTCGGAAGGGACTTGGCGTCGAGGTGGTGAGGATGGACGCAGTGGTGAGGCGGCATAGTTGGAATTCTTTGGAGTACTCCGTCTGGTATGGTTTAGGTTCTAGAGAGCGCGGCGATCCGGACGCGGGCCGTGGCGATCTAGATGACAACTGGCGTGGATCTGCTAGGTTGCGTCCTTCGGGCAGTCGGGAGGGATTTGGTGACCGTCGGGAGGGATTTGGTGACCGTCGGGTGGATCCTGCCGATGAGGTGCGGGTGAATTCGTATGAGAGCCATTGTTGAGCAACGATCATCTCTCAGGACAAGGACTGGCGGGCAGGCCCTCGTCCTACCCTGGACCGTGCTGGTGGTAGTAGTAGGCTCCCTAGGGCGGACGATAGGTGAGGTAGGGAGGCAGTACCTGGATGCTTATTCCATCTCGTGCTAGTGGCTTGACTCCCTTCCGACAACAATTGCGTGAGCGTGCCGAGGCTGCCCGAGCTCGTCGTCAAGGCGATAGATCTACCGAGCGTGATGGTCAGGACGATGAGAGGTGCGCTCTCCCCCTACGCCATATGTGTTGAGCTTTTTGGTCCCCTTCAGCCGCTCCACCTCCCGTGGCTTTGCCTCTAGAGGTGAACCTCGATCGTTATCGAGAGAAGACTCGGATCGCGCGAATAGTAAGTCCGGGGTTAAGATTGTAACCAATTTGACTCCATCCCCCAGATGACGATAACTGGAGAGCTACTGCTCACACCTCGACAACTCTGCCGTGGAGAAGGTAGGAGTCGAGCGAATTCTGTTCCAAGTCTTACGGCACGTATTTAGGCCTGGCATTGCGGAGGAGCCGCGTTCTTCCGACGCTCCGATGCCGTCGAGACGTCCTGGTACAGCGCCCGCCTCAGACTGGAAGTATGTCTAACATTTGATCATTACTGCTGTCATTATACGTTTCTCGTAGGGCCCAATTCGCTAACCGCAACCGTGCCTCTGGAACAAGCGCCACTGAGGAGCCTCGGACTCGGGCATGGGTTCCTCCGTGTAATGCAGAGCGGTTCGAATGAGGTGGAATAAGGTCGTTTGCTTCAGCTCGGGCTGATGCTCTCCGAGATGATCGGGCTCGTCATGAGGAACCTGTTAGAAGGGGTGACAGCTTTAGACGAGATGATGTCTCCCGTCGTGAGACCGGCTCATGGAGAGCTGAGGCCTTGAGGCGTGATGAGCCCCTCAGAAGGGAGGAGCCTACTAGGAGCAGTGCGCCGTGGAGGAGAGGAGTTGATAGGGAGGAACACCAACATGGCAACCGGCAGGAGGATAAGGAGATGGTTGAGAGTGTAACGAGAGAGCTTGAGACTATGGATGCTCGTGGAGATGAGTGGGCCGTTGAAGAGGAAGAGGAGAAGCCAACGGTGAGGGAGAGGGTCACTATTGATAATGCTATGTATAAGGCGTGATGCCTCTAGGCTGTGCGGGGAATATGCGCATGGTGAACCACATATGTTGGTGACAGTACGAAAATTCCGAGGAAATTTTGGGAGGTTTTCATTGATTTTTGTACATTTTTACCGAATTCGTATGTAAACTTCAGTAATCAACGAGGAAACGCCTAAGCTCAGCTGAAAAATGCATCATTATCAAACGCGAACGTTGAAAAGTGCGCGAGAATCTTCCACGCATTATAGATACGAAACGGCCGAGAGATCTATCATTACAGGTATACCAATCGATTTCCCCGGGCTTGGAGCTCCCGAAGTACAATTTTCATTGTCATTCGCTCATTGAGTCCCGAGTTCTGTCACTTTTCACGACTTGCCTATCGAACGCGAACGCGCTGTATATTTCAACACTGTCTTTAGGTGCCTGCATTTGATGCTGCTAAAATTGACAAGTTCCTAGTAGCGTACCAGAAGCATGTGGATGATGTCACGAAGAAGACTGAGCATATCGCAACGAAAATGCCTAAGAATCTCGGCGTAGCAGAAATGCAGAGCTCCTATCTCCTGGATAAGATAGTAGCGGCCTTGGTTATGAAGTAAATGTCAGTCGAGATGGGTGGTGCTTCATACACGTCCCTTCAGGGCATCAACGTTGGCTTCACTGGACGAGTGCCTTTCTCTCTTTCATCGTCATGCGCCTGTAATCAATGCTCTCATCGACTCCAATCGTCAGACGCGGGGGTAGCAGGGCCATACTAGATCTATTTTTTGCTATAGGAGAGTTGCTTGCCAGATACTGTTTCCAGCTGCTGACGTCCTCTCAGAAGGCTGTGGAGTCGGTCAAGTGTCCTAGGCTGGCAAAGGACTGTACGCTGGTTGAGGCCGTGTGGTATTCGCTGTATGATATTGATGCGGTTACTGCAGAGCTCATAGCCTTTTGGAGCGATGAGTAAATGCTGTGCTGTTCCTCACCTTGAGCGACATCTCGCTATAGGTACTCGGGTTCTGAGGCCGACACTGCTGATCGCGCGAAGATCGTTTTCCAAACCCAAGCTCTTCGTGAGTGGCTGAGCGCTGTCGAGGAGGGAGAGGCTACGAGGGATGTAGGATGGTGAATTCCTCAGTGAGTGGTATGACGTGTAATCTGTAGGCTACTGAGGAGGATGATGATGATGAGTGGGCAAGTAGTAGCAGTAGCGATGATGAAGATATAGAGGCTCTCATTCCGAAGAGGGCAACGGACATACGTGTTCGATAAACGTCTTAATACACTTTACTCGTAGCATTGCTGACGCTGTCTTTAAGAGTACTAGTTCCTCGCTGGCTACTGTCGGTTACTGCACTGCATACTTGGCTGATATACATTACAACGTCACCATCATAACAACTTCATTATCTTCCTCCGGGAGAGTTCGTCTGTGTTGTGTTTTGTGTGGCGATTTTATGGCTGCCTTCACACGTTTGAATTTTATGATGTAAATTTGTCTTTGTTTCCTCGTTGGTTTCTCCATTTCTCGACAGTCTATCGTTTACGACTTGTGCATTTGCTTGGGAGGGCGCGATGCTTTCCTTCGGGGCCTGGCTTAGTGTGTGTTGACATCCCTCTGTTGTGTCGGTGCTTTGTCCGGCGCACAATGGTGTATATAGAAAGCTCTCTGAGTTTCTTTGTTCTGTCAGTGTTCTTACTAAATGGATATTAACCCGTTACAGAATGTTGTAGAGAAGGATGAGGACATTTCTTTCGAGAATTCTGAAGATGTCACCAGAGGCGTGGCTTTGGATCTTTCCGCTCTGGACATGAGCTCATTGCCGCGCCTCGGTGGCAAGTCCTCGCCTAAGATTTGCCGTTGTGGGCGTTTCGAGGGATTCCCTCCTAGGTGCCCTACGGATTCCATGTACATTTTCCCTATTACCAGTGTTGACGTTTCCACTCAAGACCATCAGCTCACTGCTAATTCGGCAGTCGAATTCTTGGAGGATACTTTCGAGGACTGCGACATCACCGTCAAACAGGATAAGTTCAAGCTCGCACTGAATGTGTATGATACTTGGGGTCAGAAGGCTTCCGTCTGTGTGCGGATGTTTTACCTTTCTGAGAGTCAGATGAGGTTCTCATTTCGCTGTGACAGTGGAAGTCGTGATGTCTTCCTTGATGTATACGCGAGATGCAGCGCACATTTGATGGGAGACGCGACTCCGTCTACTCAGGCAGAGTTATTAGATAAGATTCCGTCACTGGACATGACAGATGTTCATCTTCCACCCCCTACTGTGGAAGAACTGGGTTTCGAAGTCGACATGGTTGAAGACTACAATGAGTCGATTAAATGCGAGGCTCTGTCCGTCCTATGTGGTTGCGGTGACGTTGGTCTCCAGGCTGTACTCAGAAGGACTGGTGTGATGAGTCAGCTACTCCTCGATGAATCTACATGTGTGGCTATTGCGGCTTGTAGATTGCTCAGTAACTGCGAGAAGCGTAACGATGTTACTGTCGAGCTGATGATGACTGAGGAAGTCGTTGCTGCCCTTCTTGAAGGGTTGCTCGCGGCTGAGCCTATGTCTGCTAAAGCCAATAAGCTTGCTGCTACTTTGGGCAAGGTCCTCCGTATGTCTAACGACCTAGTGTCTCAGTGTGACATCCATTCCCTTGCGGATGCCGCTAACATGTTCGTCGCTGATGTTCGTGTTGCTCAGTCCCTCGATCAGAGCTTAGCGATGTGCACGTGAGCTCGGTGAAGGTTCCAAGTTATTCCGGCGCACCCCGTATAATATGTGGTGTCAATGTCTATG